ACTTTCCATTCCGATTTTCTGTGGGGTTTTTATTATCAATGTTTCTTGGACTTTGTCAAATGCTTTTTCTGAGTCTACTGAGATGAGCATGTGATTTTGCCCTTGGCTCTGTTAATATGGTGTATTACATTTATTGATTTGTGTGTACTGAACCATCCTTGATTCCCAGGGATAAATCTTGGTGTATAATCTTCTTGATGACTTGCTGCGATCTTTTTGCCAATATTTTATTGAGGATTTTTGCATCTATGTTCATTAGGGAGATTGGCCTGTGGTTCTTTTTTTTTTTTTGGTTGATTTTCTCTGGTTTGGGTGTCAGGGTAATATTTGCTTCTAGGAATGACTTTCATTAAAGAGTCTGAAGGTGGCATTAGATCGCCTCTATTTTTTTTTTAATAATTTAGCAGTGACTCCATTAGGACCTTGGCTTTTCATTGTTGGTAGGTTTTTAATTACCTCTTAAATTTTATTGACTGATATTGGGTTATTTAGAATTTTTACTTCTTTTTGATTCAGGTTTGATAATTCATATGTATCTATAAACCTGTCCATTTCTTCTTTGTTTTCCATCTTACTAGAATAGAGTTTCTCAAAATAGGTGTTGATCTCCTGGGTTCTGCAGGATCTGTTGGGATTTTGTTCTTTTCATTCCTGATTGCATGGATTTGAGCTTTTTCTTTCCTTCTTTTGATAAGGTTGGCTAAGGTTTTATCAGTTTTATTTAATCTTTCAGAGGAACAACTCTTCAATTCATTGATGCTTTGTATTGTTTTTTCTTAGTTTTGAGTTCATTAATTACTGCTCTAATTCTTTATAATTTCCTCCCTTGTCTGAGCTTTGGGCCTGACTTGTTCTTCTTTTTCTAGAAGTTTGAGGTTCAACATTAGGTTGTTTGTTTGAGCTAGGTCTGGACATATTTTCTTTTTTAAGAACAGTAATAATTGTTTTGTTGTATAAATACAATTTGTGGGTCTGCTTTTAGAAAAATGGATTAAGCTTCATTTCTAACATTGGGACCAAACTTAATCCCTCCACAAATTTTATTTTAGAATCTCTTTATGCCAGCATTTGTGAATAGGTGTAGAAATAACACATGTGATTTACTAGTCACTTTTGCAATTTGATGCTAACAGTGAGCCACGCATTATGGCACTCATCTCTAATCTCAGCAGTTTGGGGAGCTGAGGCAAGAAGATCATAAGTTCAAGCTCAGTCTGGGCAACTCACTGATTTCACAGGACTCTTTTCAAAATTAAAAAAATTTAAAAATTATTTGAGATATAGCTCAGTGCAAAGGCTTTGAACTCATTTCACAGTACTTACAAAAATCTTCAAATCCCTATCTGTTAGACTAGTCTGTGAACAGGAAACCAATTTGAAAAAGCTCCCCTGGTGAGGTGCTCCATCTGGATCCCTCCTCATCACTTTTTAGGAACCGTTGCCTGGCCTGTCTTCAAAGCCCAAACTGTACCTTTTGAAACCCCATTCTCAATTTAGAAACACAACATTTGGTCAAAACACCATCCAGTGTGAGCCATTTTGCTATAGGTGTTCCAAGTTTTATGACAATATTCAAATTTAAAATTGTGATTACTTTCTAAATGGAATTTACTTCATAATTACCTAACAACAAAGATGTTTCTGTGTATATGTCCTTTGTAATATCTTCCTCTGTAAATGTTCTGCAATGCAGAAAACTAAACATTTCTTATGGACATATTCACATCACCCTAGAACTATTCATGGAATTAAATTTCTAAGATCACTCATCTAGCAAAGATCTCAAGAACCATGGTGTATCTCCAGCCATATCTTGCTCTGAAGGTTTATCTGAAGTATGCCACGTAGTTCAGGTCACAGCTGCCTGTTTCAGTCAAATACTGACCTACTATCAAACAGATGGGTTCTTTCATTAAATAGAATGAAGCACTTATTTGAAAACCATCCAGACAGTTGTGTGTGAAAATTATTGAGCAGTAATGTAGTGAAATATGGAGGAATCAGTTTCTAGATGTAATTATGCAGAGCATCTAGTTTCACAAAGGTACCCTGTGTGTTCAGACACGTTCAAAGCAGTGCTATCCTCAGTTCCATGTTTGCTGTATAAGATGATGTGTGGATTTGGTATGTTTAGCTGCACTACATTGAGAGACTCTGGTAGGCTCTGAGGCTGCAGAAATAGCTTCTCCTTTGCCTTTCAGACTTTTAATCTAAAGGCCAATTCATGTAGGAAACTCTTTCAGCAGTTTGCTGTTTCCCATCAGAGCCATTTAACAAGATCAAGAAAGTCCTTGAGAGTAGGTCTTTGCCTCTCAATTGTATTTATAGATTTTTATAAAGTCTTTGGCACATAAAAGATAATTCAAAATATATTTCAATTGAACTGAATGGTTGTTTATGTCTACCATGTGATATCAGAACTGTTATTAGCTCTGAACCTCTCTCCAAAAAAGAAAATACATTTCATCTAAAATTGACTACATGTAGAGAAGAAATCAGGGAATATAAAAATCTTTGTATATTTGTAGATTGTTTGTTGTTTTTTTTGGTGCTGGGGATAGAATCCAGGGTCTTGTTGTGCAAATGGGTTTAATAAATAGGAATAAAAGGCTCAACTAAAATATACACACACAAGTACACACACAGTGCACCAAAACAGTAAGTGGAAATCAAAACTAGGAAAGAAAGACAAATGGAAATCAGAATTAAGTGATGACATTTACTGGCCAACCTATTGGAATACATCTTGCTGAAGGCAAAAGAACTTTTCTTCTTTGTTCCTAAATATCCATCAGAAAACTAGCTGAACTCAATAGAAACTCATTTAGTGATAACTAGCAGAAGTTCTTAATTATGAAGATGAAAGAAATTGACTTGGGATTAAAAAAAGAAAAGTATGAGGAAAAGAGTTGAGTTTTCTTTTAAATTATGAATATCTCAGTCTGAAATAACATCAATGGCATGTGCTTCTGCAAGTGTTGTAGCCAAGCATTAGATAAGAGATGTGCTACATAAAAGGCAACATATTCAATTCAAGATGAGGCAGGAGTGTTCACTAAGCTTTCTGTCTTTCCTCTCCTTACCTGGCTAAAGAAGTAGGCAAATCATGATGTGTTATTTTTAGTATTGTAGGAGAAAAGGATCTAGTTCATATCATGTTGAAAGCAGAAGTAACACCATATGTTGTGCCCACTGAGAGCCATTATGGCAATCCTCAGCCAGAAAGAGTATAATTGCTCAGCTCAGAAATGGCACTGAATCACAGCACTGACACCAGCAAATTTTCTGCAGTTAGTGTTTGGTCCCTATTTCTCTCCAAAGTTAAAAATAATAATGATGGTAACAGCTTCACTTTTGGGGATGGCAATCCACTGTATTTTGAATGAAAAAATTTTAAATACACATTCATGAACCTCTATTTTTTTCCACTCAACTAAGATTTATTTTTCTGTCTTATTCCAATTTCACCTTTTACTAAAGTATATCCTGCAGTGTCTATCTTGAAATATTAGTATACAATCTATTATCTAGACTATTATTTATCATTTCCTGTTTTGGATAATCCTTTGTATTGAGTTAAATATGGGAATTTCAGCTAAATTCACATGATACAACTCTTAGCTTTGATGCTGGGTGGCATTTTCAGTTAGATACAACATATAGCACTAAATTATCTTCTAGAGCTTGGAACAAAATTTGTAGGAATCAATATAATCAATAACAGTATGAGACAGCATCTTATAAATGATGTTAAGAAATCAGTCTATCCCTTTGATTTGAGTAGGCCATCATTCATTTACTGTAGTTTTTTTTTTTTTTCCATTTCGGTTTACTAATCAAGCAGCCTCTGCCTGAAGTCCAGATTAACACAAGTAACTGCCTCCCTCTTGTCACCACTTAAATGTCTAATAGGTTACTCAAATATACATTTCCAAACCAGGTGCCTTTGAAGTTGGTCCTCTCTCATTTTTTTTATTTCCAACAATGGCAGTTGTTTTCAGATTCTCAGACAAAAAAACCACTGAGGCCTTCACTAACTTTGTTTTGCTTATATCCAAATTGTTAAAAACTCCACTGAGTCTAGGAGCCCACTATGCAACATATATCCAACCATTTTAATTCACCTCCTAGTTCGCTGGTCTGAGTTACCATCACATATCAGATTGTTATAGTAGTCACCTCTCTTTTCTCTCTGCTTCTTATCATGTGCCCTTATAGTCTATTTTCATGTGTATAGTCTGATAGTCTGAGTGGTCTTGTTAAATGTAAATTAAGTCACCTTAACATATTATCTAATATGGAAGGCACATTTGGCTATTGAAGTTGAAATAAAAATTCATTATAATGAAATGAAAACTAAAATTAAATTCCTCAGTCCTATTTGGCACATTTTAACTGCTCCATAGCTACAAGTAGTAAGTGGCTCACATACTGGCCAACATGTATGGAACATTTCCATCAGTCCAGAAACTACTTCTATGCAGGACTGCAAATGGTTCCATGTGATCTGATACCTCATGTATGTCTTCTTCTACCTATACAACCCATTTCTTTCTATTCTCCCTCTTTGCTTATACAACTCTTAATTGCATGGTCTTTCTGGCTAATTCTTAAGCATACCAAACATGCACCTGCTTCAGGTCTTTTACTGTTGCTCTTCTTTGAAGCCTGCATAGCTTGCTGTCAGATCTCTGCTTAGCTATTGTCTTATTAAAGAGACTCTTTATAACCACCCTAGATAAAAGAGCAGTGCCTCAAGTCTTTAACCTTCCTTACCACTTACTCTGATTAGATTTTAATTTAGTACTTATCATCATTGGATATGTGATATATTTACTTACTTAAATTTCTCCCTCTGTCATGTACCTTGATTTGAGCTCCAAAAAGGGTTAGAATATTATTTTGTTCACCACTCTATTCCACACATCTAGTGGAATAGCTGACAGAAATGAAATGAAAGAAAGAATAAATGAAAACATGAAATTTGTTCTGTTGTATAGGAACCAGTGGCTGGGACAAACTGTGGAAAAAGTATGGATCCCGCCTACCGCAGAATGACCTCTGCCAGTACGTTACATCGTCTGATCTCGTTCAGATGCTGGACAGCCTGGGGATTAAGTATGAGTGTTATGATCTTCTGTCCACCATGGACATAACTGACTGTTTTATTGATGGTAATGAAAATGGAGAACTGCTTTGGGATTTTTTGACAGAAACCTGCAACTTTACCACAACAGCACCACCGGATCTCAAAGCAGAAATTATGAAAGATCTACAGGAGCCTGAATTTAGTGTTAGGATAGAGGGGAAGGTTCTTTTTAATAATAACCTGAGCTTCATGGTGATCGAGGCATAACTACCAGTCAAGAGACTGTATTCATAAATTACATTTTGAACAGCTATCAATCATTTTTTTCTATATTAAAATTATAACTATATCTCATAGACAGAGCATTGTCTCTTATAAATGAAGCCTAGGAAATCCCGAGACATTTGTGGACTTCCATGTTGAATCACCTGAAATACTTCTAGTTTTACCTGTCTCAGAGACTATATGCAGGCTAAGTACCGTACAAGCTGGAAACATCAGATACTGAATTTTACTGGCTTATTAATAACAAAACCCTTTCCTAATTGTACTAGAATTACCTAGAATAATAATAAAATATATTCTGTGGATTCTTGAAACACTGATAAAGTCAACACTTATTAATATTTTGGTCACTTAGAAAACAGATACTTCTCTTCTTGGGAAGGATTTGTCTTTGTTTATTATTCTTATTTCTGTCTTAATTTCCTTGAATATTAAAAGTAAGCACTGTTAGACTATTACAAAATTAACTCTGTAATATATAGTCATTTCCATATTTTCTTTTCTCTTAATTTCATTTATAATCTAATAATGTTTTGGGTGATTGTTTTTGATGTACTGAAACTTTCTACTTTCTTGGGCCAAATATACTTTTTTTTTCTTTTTTAATTCATGGGTTTCTGACACATTCTAAATGTTTCCCTAAAATCAAAGTTTTGAAATACTAATATATGCCATAATAATAATGTTTTAATTTTTAAAAAAATAAAAAATTTAAGATGTTTAAATGTATGTGTTTAAGGGTCAGATTGAAAACAAGTTGTTTTCACAAAAATAACGTCCAAGTCCATAAGCAAATTTCCTGGTGAACAAAAAGCAAATATCTCCAATTTCAAATGTACATTTTATTATTTACAAAATTCCTAGAAAAACTTGAATTTATTTTGATATTTTATAGTCCTGTATATTGTTCTATGACCTCCTCTAATACCAACAGTTATCTTTGGACAGTAAGATTTAATATTATCTATTTTATTTCTAATAATAAGATCCTACCATTTTTGTAAAAATAGTACATCTCTTTAGATTAGTAAATAAAAAATAATTTAATTATAAATATTTTCAAGTTAAGTAAATAGTCACTGCTTTCAGAAAGAGAAAAAAGTAAAGTCTTACTAAACAACCCAAGGGCCCTCATTCTCTTAGTTTAGATGATTTTGGACGAGGTTAACATTCAGTCTTTGCTCTAATAACTCTACTACTTCATGCTGCAGGATGGCCACTTAAAAGGGGTGATGTCTCTTAAACCCCCAACATATCCTCAAGGAGTACACTGGTATCAGGTCTATTTAAATTAACAAATTGCCAAGATTTGTCATTCCTAATAGTTAAAATGGACACATTGATCTCTTTTTTAAAACAACTTTATCAATATTTTTTGAATTATAACCAACAAATAAAATGACATTCATTTAGTCAGATTCCTGAATATGAACATCGGATCATTTATCATCCTGATAAGTACCACTGACAAAGGAAATCTGTGAGACAAACATGATGGATGGATATGGGGCCATGATGACCTTGAACAACTTCACTAGGAGTATGGAAATCAAGACTCTTTAGAGCAAGTTAAGGCCCTTTGTTAAAAGCATGTATGTAAAATAAAACAAGAAAGAAAAAGAAAGAAAAAAGGAAAAAGAAAAAAGAATGAACATGCTATTTCAATGTAGAAAAGACAGCAGTCTACACATTGGTATTTATAAATACAATTTTTTTTCTCATCCCACAAGCCCTTTTCTAGAAAATATAGAGATAAATTCTCACCTGCTTCAGTTCAAAGTAATGAAAGTCTGCATCTCTCCAAGAGAATACCTACACAGCAGAAATCTATGTAGATTCAAGAGATAGAAATATCGTCTTCTTTCTGCACTTCATATCACAAAGGATTTGGAAAGTTACATACTGACTTTTGAAATTCTTGTAGTTAAGAGGATACAGCATGAATTTGGAATGTTGCTTTATACATCATCACATTTCTTAATGTTCAACATGATGCCTTACATATGGTAGATGCTAAGAAAAGAGTGATGAATTATTCTCTTCTCTAAGCATCTTATACCTTATGTGTTCATATTATTATTGCAAACATAGCTCCAAAAACTCAAAAGGGGGTTGGGGATGTACTGCAGTGGTAGAGTGCTTACATGGCATGACAAGGCCTTCTGTTCAATCCCTAGGGCTATGAGAGAGAGAGAGAGAGAGAGAGAGAGAGAGAGAGAGAGTGAGAGAGAAATGATGTGTTGTCCATAGCATTAGTGTAAAGTTCAACCCATTTAGGACTATTTCAGATACATTTTTGCATTTGTTGTTAAGGGATATTGCCAAAATCTGAAGCAAAGGCACAGTGTGGAGCATAGTACTGTAGAACTGTGATATTTGCTTATTTTAAAAATTGGCAACTTTCTTAACTGACAACTCTGCCACTCTGGACCAAAACTAAAGTAATATATATAGTGTATATCCATAAAAAGAAATACAAATATCATAGAAAAATATTAGAGATTAAGTCTAAAACTGCACAGAATCAAATGTGCATTCAATGTATTTAAATATTTATTGAATAAAAATAGTTTTCACATATTATTGTGTCATTTAAAAACATATTTATATGTTTTACCTTATGAGAATGTGATTTATAAGGAAATATGGATTTCTCGCTAGATCCCATATTGGAATGAATGGATAAAAAATAGTCTTGTTATTTGGAGCTCTAGAATAAGACTTCCTGGGTTAAAATCCTGTTGCGTCAATCACTCACTAAACTACCTCAGCTAGTTCATTTTCTCTCTATTTTCACATTTCTTCATATGCAAAATAAATATAATCCTAGTAGCTACCTTAGATGTTGGTCACTGATGATTCCAGGTGTTAAGCTGTGCAAATAAGCTAGTAAGTTTCCGGAGTCATAAATATTAAAAACCATTAACCATTACTGTTATTATTTGCTAAAAAATTTAATGTAAAATATAGAGAAAACTTTTAAAATGTTATTATTATGGAGGATTATGACTGAGGATAAAAAGGTAGCACCTGGAGAAACCAACTGAGATTCTAAACCAGAAGCATATGACCTCTCTGTGTGTGAAATGGTAAATTGGTATACGAGGAAGCCCAAGAACCATCAGGGCTGAACCACTCCAGACCCAATGAAGGGAACCAGCTCCCTTAGCCTTGATGCTCTGAATGCCTATGCTCTGTGCCACATGAAGCGGCTCCATCTCAATCAACTCTGGCTGGGTTATCAGAAAGAGGTGGGCAGCTGACTCATGGACAGCAATTTATAAGTCAGCCAGAAATTAACTGGAGCAGTCTCCTTTAAAAATAAGAAATGGATCTGTTAATTTCTCCTCTTAGAGATTTGGAATTACAAATCTGGCATAGTTGGACATTTATCCACTCACCTCTGAAATTCATTCTCTCATATTTATTGAATAACTGTAAGGTGTGAAACATAAGCAAGGAAGAAAGAAAATAAAAGAAAGAAAGTTCCTGACCTAAGTAACCCAATTTCTAGTTGATGAAATAGACAAAAATATCATATAGTTATAGGCACTACAAAGGAAATAAAAGTAACTAAGAGAAAAGAAGTAGAGTGTGCAGTATTAGGTGGAATTGCATAAAAGGCCTCTGATAGAGGGTAAAATATGAACAGAGATTTAACTGCAAACCATAGGAAGAATTAGGAGAAAAGCACTTGAAGAAGAAGGGGAATGCAAAGATCTTGCTGTAGGAGAGAGGTTGGCATATCTGTCTGCAGAGCAGCAAGGAGCATTGGTGGCTTCTTTTAGTATAGGAGCCAAAGTGTCATAAGATAGATTCAAGCTCAGAGAGGCCTCTGTGAGCACATGCAGGAAGACATGATTAGGATGCTGGTCTGAAGGAGAGAAATGGACAGGACTTGTAGGGAAATGAGCAATGCCAGGAGCATAAGATGACACGATATTTGAGAGGGAGATGAGCTTTGACTGTCTCAAGGAATGCTCCTTGCCCTTTCCAATTCCTACCTATGCCTATATAAAAACAGTTAACCCCTTCACAAGAGGGATACATACTGGTGTCTAGTTCTTGCCTTCAAAATGCCATGGTTAGAAAAAACAGAACATCCCATTTGATTCTTAATAAGTTAGGAAGATTATTTATTAATTGTCCTATTTTACAGATGAGGAAACAAGATAACAGTGCAATTCTCACTGCAAGTGGCTAACTAGAAGTAAGCTGACTTCTGCTTTCTGACTCTAAACTGCATCTGTGTATTGGGAAAATTAAATGTGTGGTGTTTTATTTCAGATGTAGCATGAGATTTCATGGAAACAAATTACCTTTGCTGCAAAATGTCCACCTGTAAACTACAGGAGATGTAATTACAGAATGAAAGATGTGGGAATCAAAAAAAAATCAGAGTAGTATGAATAATGTATCTCCTCAAGCAGTTAAATAGCAGTCTTTCTAAATACCACACTTCGCTAAAAAGTTTGTGTTAAGCTACTCACAAACACTTGTATTCTCCCATTCAGTTGCTTTGACTTTTGCCTGTATTTCTCTTCTGTTCCTACGAGGTCCCCAGCATTACTAATTTCATGTTTAAATTATTTGCCACCCATATTCTAGCTCCCCTGTGATTCACATACTGTGAGATACACATCCATAGTATGAGATCAACTAATGTAGAATAGTTAAAGTTATGCATTATGTAATCCATTTTTCAGTGTGATATATACCAGGAAAATGCAACCACGGTAAGAGAGGGGTTGATTTAGGAAGCTCCCTGGGCAACTACAGTCACAATTTCCAAACATGCCAAAAATTCATTAAAGCTCCACGTCAGATTGCTGTAATCTCTGTGGTAATGGATTAATAAATACAGTGATGTGCTATTGTGGAGGCTGTAATGATACATTGTGGATGTTCTATATGAGCAGTGTCTTCTTGAGATCATATTCTTCTCTTGAAGAATTATCTGTGTTTCGTGATTCACCTTAATGATACTTGAAGGACTGCAAACAACCCACCTAAGGTAGAAAATGTTGAAATAAATCACAGGGGCCATCAACTGCAGTCCAAGCTGGGTGAGTTCTCCAAAAACATTTGATAGAGGAGAAGCAGGAAAATGTCAGTTCTTATATTTATGTCCTAGAACTAACTAATTTCATGCTAATTTCATTTCTATACTGTGATACTCTTTTCTGCACATATTGATGTATGGGTTTCATGAGTTAATTTTCTGGTTTTCAATGCAGCCAGACTAGATATAAATCCCAGGGTTTTGTGGAAGAAGCAGTTGTTCCATGCTACTTATTATCAGCACAAGCACATTGCAGCCCTGGTTTATCTATCAAGATATTGCTGCTGTTCTGCACTTTTTCCAAGAGGCTTCATCCATCCCACAACAGCTTTTAATGGGAGGCAACTTACAGTCCCTGGGGTTGTTTACTGTTATTATTTTTTTATTCTTCCAGCAATGATTGGGAGAAGACATTGGAATTCTGTCTCACTGTTTAAAAGTTGCCAGTAAGTAAGACAAGGAAAATATCCAGGGTTTACTGTTCCAAGAAAAGCCTCACAAGATGGATTTGTTCAGGCAAGTTTGGCAGTTCATGGGTCTCCCATCTGTGGGTCCTAGGGAATGGAGAAGCACAAACTGCCTCCTCAGCTTGGCTGCTTCCCTTTGCTTTTT